TACAGGTTTTTTTAATAAAAATTGTGTTCATAGTTACACAGGGATGCATGCTTCATTGAAGAAAGAATAAACCAGTCAAATATTTACTTTTTTCTTCATTATCTAATGGGTGGTCTCATGTCCTATTGATTTCAAAGGTCCAAATGCTACAGACAAAAAAAATTAATATTTTTCTCATAAACTCTTCTGGAGTGCTCATCACAGAAGTATTTGTTTGTTATGCTCAGACAAATGCATTGCACCATACAACTTCTCAGAAGATTACTTGTTTCTATGAGCATTTACAAGGTTTTTTGACCTACTAATTGTATTCCCAAATGGAGATGACAAAGATTAATTTGGTAAAGTAATTTTAAAATTTCTGCTCGTGCTTTGTATATTCAAAACAGAATACAAATATCTTGGAAATTAACCTACAGATACAGTTAAGCAGCATTGTTCCTTTTTACAGGGCAAATATGCCCCATTCTACTTGAACTAACAAAGCACTTTTGACAAGACACTTAGAATCAAAAGCAACCTAATCTTCCTCTCCTTTTCTTCAAAACTAAGCATCATTACCCTCTTCTGTTGCCATTACAGCAACAGAAATTACCTCATTCCTGTGAGCTGCACAAATTCCAGAGCAGCTGCTGTGCATCAGCAAAGCACTGACCAGGAATAATTTTCATTGCCAAGTGGCTGGTGATAAACAGAATTCTGTGCAGAACCATCTAAAATTGTAATTGATTGAAATCTATTGGTCCAGAGATCTCATTTTAGATGAATATATTTAAAACAAAACAGAATATAAAACCTTTGCAGCTATATAAAAGCTGAAGCAAATTAGTACAGAAAAGCCCTATGGTTGTTTGCAAAAATTCGTAGTGTGCTGTGGTTATGGAAACACCTCTCGGAGTTACAAGCTAAGCCTTTAGCTGGAATAAGTAACTTCCTGTCTCCAGTAACAACAACATAAATTAGGCTTATCCATTCATGGCTAATATTTTGAAACTACCAACAGAACGGCAATTCATTCAAATAATTTTACAGTGTGAATGTCAGCAGAGACCACCATTGCAGTACTCATATATGAATAAAATGTTTTTCACATATCAACCTGGGTTGCCAATGGACAGTAAACTGGTTTAAAAAATCCACATTATGTGACAATTTGTTTTTTCTTCCTGCTTCTCCCACGAATTATCACCAGTACTGTAAGAAAGACTAGGAAAACTGTTCATTCTGAACCACCTAAACAGGTACATACAACAAAACAGTTTTGTTTGTTAAGTCCATAGCTGCCTTTGGCTGGACATTTTCAAACAAAGGAGATGAGAGTGCATCATTTCTCTACTGCCAATTTTGCTGATTTCTTATAGTCTCAAAATACATATAGATGGCTAAGAAAACTTTGATGTAATTCTGTACAACAGCAGACTGTCTTTTTACTGACACAACTACAATCACAGAAAAGTTCTGGATGAAATAAGCAGTTGAAATCTGAAAGTCCTGTATAGTCAGTACAGGAGTCAGTACAGAGAATCCACCTTTTCTTTGAACCACTTTTACCTCTTCAGTTTCCATTATATAAGCATGCTATGTTGAAAGCAGAGTCATAATGTTCTTTTAAACTACTGCTTTGAAATAATTTTAGACACATTTAAACTATTGCAATTTAGTTGCTGGCCACTTGGTTTCAGTTCAGACAGTGAGAAAGCATGCGTTTCAATGACCCTGAGTTCACTGAGATTACTGGAAAACCAAAACAAGGGTTTGGAAGTCCACTGCTTTAACACATAAAGAAATACATTAAATACTTCAAAAGATATAAAATTCTTAGAACTGTTGGACAGGCTTCTGTGTGTGAACTTTCCTGTCCAAGCACCATTGCTAAATACTGTGACTCCAATCAGAAGATTGACATTATGTTGTTGTGTAATTCATAACCTCATAACTCAGTGTCACTTTTAAAAATACTTTATATGTGCACTCAACAGCTTAAAATTTCAGCTGTCAGATATTAAATAACGGACAGATCAGGAGGTTTATTTTGAAATATGAGTTCTTTATATTTTTTAGAAGGGAGAAAGAATGTAAAGGTTGTTTAGCCAGTGTTAACACTAGAAGCCTAGAGTCAAACAATAATCAGGAATCACCAACTGGAAGGAAAGCTAATGGACAAGAGTAAACTTGAATTTTTACAACACAACTGGGACAAAATGCACCTAAATGCACATAGTAACAAACACCATTGAGATCCTACAGAGCTCAGTAAATGGTATGAGTAAATAGCCAAATTAACACCATATAGGTTAGGCCCAACAACAACAAGCAGTGGAGAACAGATGCTCAGAATGTAATCTTCATCTCCTTTTTTTCAAAAGTAAGAACCTTTCCAAAGCATCATCTGCTGCCATTGCACAAATCACCTCATTCCTGAGAGCTACACAAAGTCCAAAGCTGCTGCTGTGCATCAGCAAAGCGCTGACCAGAAATAGCTTTCATTGCCAAGTGCCTGGTAATAAACAGAATTCAGTGCTGCCAGGTATTTGTAAAGGAAGTGAAGTTCTTTGCTTCAAATGACATACAGCAGGGGCTATCTGCTGTTACCCATAACCCAACCTTCTAGAGTATCAGTATAGCACTTCAGAGGCACTGTGTTGGTCTGATAGAATCTGTGAGATCACAGACATCTCTGAAGATGTTATGTAGCCACTGATGATGCACTGAGGAGACCACTAACAATGTCTTTCTCTGTTATACACAAAAATACAAAATAACATAAAATAAAGGCTTACTAAACCCATTATGCTGCATATTATTCAGTGTGATTTGAGGTTCTCCTTTCACAAGGTAAGGAATGATGTGCCCCTTAGAAAAACACCATCTGGAATAGACTGAATTATAGATTCTTTGGTATGAACAAAAGCAACTGTGTATCTATGGTAGCAAATAAAATAATAAATACCATCATGTCTTTCAACACTTAGCAGTAACTACTATTTAAAGAGCTTAAGATTTCTGGGCATATCTTATTTTCAGTATCAAACCCATATTCACTTGATTTCTTTGTATGCTACCTAAGATGATCTTGTTGCTATCCAGTTTCTCGTATGTACAGTGAATTAATTTATCATTTTTGCACCCATAAAAAGAAGCAGTGAGATGTTGAAATGTATGGGTCCAGTAGTACACAATTATGGTTAACACTTTTTTTCTTAGTAATCCATGAATGGAATTCTGAACACTAGAAGTAGGTGTAAACTCTTACCTTTTATATTTTAAAGAACAGATCAAACACCCATTAAACAGACAGCAGCTGGAAGGGCTATGGCTATTTCTAGATCTATCTTAAATAACCTTGACCAAATCATTTTATCTGTATTTGTCTTACTCACCATGTGTGAAAATGAGGCAATGATGTTTATTCACCTTTTAAACATTTTTAAAACCCACTGATTAAGGTCACCATTCAGATCCATCCAAACACTATTTTTTAGAAGCTTACCCGTACGTAAACTCAACTATTGGAAAAGTTAAAATTTTAAGCAAAATTACACATTGCAGTAAAGGTAATAAATTGCAAGTAACAGTTTCTCAGACTTAAAAGAACAGTTCAGTAAATACAGAAAAAATGCATTTTTTTTTCATAGGGATAAAAATTGGCTACTGCTGGAAGTTAATATTACTGCAAGGAATCCCTGAAATCTTTTTTAAGCAACACTTGAACAGTTATATAAAACTTAACAGCAAGTAGATCACCCAAGCAGGCCCCACAACCTACTGCAAGTATATGGCACAGGGTTCAGAGGTTACATGAGACCAGCTTTCCTAGCCAAACAAGTAAAAGCATAACACTTCCAGGCACTGAAACACTTTTCCTTGGACTTCAACAGAAGCAGATGTGGGGCTGACTACATACTGAACAAAAAGCATAGATAGAAGAAAATGTCAGGAAAAAACATAGGCTCAGTTTGCAATTTATCCGTAATCATCCTTTCACATGAACACTGGCTTTCTAGTACTACCCTCTTCATCTGAAGATCAGTGCAAATCTTCAAATAATTGGGAGCTTACTTCTTCATGTGTGCTTGAGATTGCTCTGCTAAACAAACTGATGCAATATTTCAATTTTCATTTTACTTTGGGGTGTAAGTTCTGAGTCATCATCGTTTATTTTTCTCCAAGCCTTCAGCTTGTGTTTTCTGTTTTTCTTCCTGGATGTGTCATAACAACTGAATTGTACCACCCCGGTAAAATGGTAAAGCCCAGCAGACATCTGCCAGTGACAAAATACTGTGCTCTCACTCTAATTCCCCACACATTCCACTCTTCACACAACTTTTCTCGCATCCTCTCAGTAATGTGGTAGAGCCTAGTAAGCAATTTCTTTTCATTCTCCACAACATTCTGCCAACACTAACACAGAGATGAAGCAATAAATCAAGAGTTGCCTCAGAGAAGAACCTACTAGCCTTGCATGTTCTTTTTCTAGCCCAGTTTTTGTCAATATTCCCAACAGGTTAACCTCCCTGAAGTCAGTGACTTCCCTGTAGGTAGGCTATCTGTTAGTTTTGGGTCAACACTGTGTTAATTAACTTTGGAGGTATTTTTTTTTTTCAGAATTGCAAAGTAATTTTGATTTGGGAAAATCATTTGAGAGACGTTTTACTCTTTTCAATTTAACAGAAACTGTTCAAAAGTTTCCGACATTTGTGAACACAAGATTGAAGGGAAAATAAATCCCTTATTCTGAGTTTTGAAATCTCCATTTTTCATTTATAAGAGTTGCTACTGTGGTACATTTGTTATAAAAATAAATATAATCATCACATATCAGAATTGCATGCAGGAGAAATGGAGGTGAGAATGATTAGTTACAGGAAAGCATTAAAAGCAAGGCAGGAAAAGTCTCATCTCAAAAGAGGTAAACATGATGGATCAGATGAAAACGTAAGTTAAGATAGAGGGGACTTTAAAAGTTACTATTAAAGTTCTGTATTTGGCAGCTACCTTACCTGAACTAGGACTTTGATTCCTTTGAGGGTGAATCATGTTTGAACCAGGTTTCAAGGACAGTTCTCCTCTCACAAACGCACAGCACTTGCAATTGCATCCAATTTTTCTTACGAGATCGGGGTTGGACAACGATTGCACCGTGTGTTAGCAATTGCATGTGGGTGGATAGCTATATAAGAATCAGTCCTGCAGCCCTGGTTGGTGCAGACTGTGAAGCAGGCTGCAAAGGATCTCTTCAGAAGTACTCACACCAGTCTACCTAACCACAAAGTAGCCACATCTTGCTTAACTTACATGTCAGCAAAGACCAAGAGCAAATGTTAAGAGAAACCTTCCCTCAACAACCAGGTGGGGAAAAGCCAGTACTGGAAGTTACAGCAGCAGTAAAAAAATGGCAGCAGACATTCTAAGGAACAGAAGAGTTGCCAGATAATGACTTCTTAAGATTATCACGTGGCAGGTATAAAAGCAAAAACTGTGGCAGACTAACTCTTTGGAAAATTGATCTGACAGATACTTACACCAGATTGATAACTATTTACACCTATATTTATTGATACGGTTCAGAACTTTGGAAGCCTGAAATTTTCACTTCATGGAAACAGAAGAGTCGCACAGTAAGGCAGCCATACAGTTAAGAGAAGAAGGTGTTAATTTTTCATAGGGGCATTCTTCTCTTATTATCAGAAATTATTCAGTTGTTTTGTCTGCACCTTTCTTTCTCCCATCCTTTAAAAGAAGAAAAACAAAAACCTATTGAAGACCTACAATGCAAAACACCTGGAACTCTGTCATTTAGATTTGGTTAAATTATAACAAATTTAAGGCAGAGATTAATATTAGAAAGTGTCAGGCAATCTAAAGTTTAGGTGTTGCTGCCTGCACCAGCTATTAGTGTCACTGTCAATATTATGTGCCAAACAGTCTTAATTTATGTGTGTGACTAACAGACTTTTCATTTTGCTGCTCAGTTGTTTATAGTGTTGCAGGATATTTAGTTTGCTTTTGTAAAAGTATTTAATTTTCAAACACTTACATATGCTGCGTGCAATAAGGCAGTATGAATTGTTCTTTAGGGATTGGGCTGCCCCTCACTGATTCAAGCTTGAGCTTTACCAGATGCCATATCCAGAAGAGCTAATCCTCATTTTTTCTACTTCTACATTCACTAAGTATGATTTTTACATAATTGTACCAGAGCACTGAGACAATAATGAACGAATGGTCCATGTAGAACTCTGGAAATATTTCAGCAATGTTTGTGAGGCAGTGAATCAAAATGTGTCTGAGCAAGATATGGGACATGGTGCAACAATGCTTAGATTCTTTGGAACATAAGGAAAGAGCAAGTATTCTATCAGAGATATTTTATCATTCATTTTTTCATTCATTCAGCCAGTATGGTGTCTAATGTGAAAATTTACAATGTGAAATAATAAATTAAGAACATCTGTTCTATTAGGAAACAAATGTATTACTCAATAATTACTACCAGTTTCAACACTGAAATGTTAACAGTATGTACGATTTTTTAAAGACTTCACTTCTTAGTAGTTTTATAGGGTACTGGTCTGAAACACTGTAGGTACTTGCCAGATGTGGTACAATGGTAAAGTAACGCTATTAACAGAGAGCGTGTTTATCCTTAAATCACCCCTCTCCTGTTCTCTCAACCAAGGAGAAATGATTTCTGAATTTCCTAATGATCTCGCAAGATAAACATTGAAAGTTATTAGATCTAGAAATAATTATATTAAAAAGAGCATTATATTTTTAATTCTAGTGCTAAGAACATAAATCTTTCCTAAGTCCTACTTATCAGTACAATGACGTCACCCTGGAGTAGGGAATAGGATAATCTTCCTTGTTGCTGCATTACTGAAGAATGGCAAGGAGCTCTGATAAATGTCCCACTCACTGTATGTTTCCTTACACCCAGTCCTTGCTTTTACACTGGACAGAACAAACTGTAGATTTTAAAAGCCGTATATTGTTTTCAGTATTTCTTCTATCTTCTCTCTCTGCAGTACTGCAACATGTTCCAAGCATTTTTCAGCGCTTCCACTCTGCTCTTTGCCTTCACTCCACCAGCTGTCACTCCAGTGACATTTCCAAAGCATGAAGCTAACAAAGAGCAGGGTAGAGCTTAACTGCTTAAGCTGTGGAGATCAGTAGCGGTATTTTAAAATATCAACAGAACTCTGTGTATTGGGAGCATTTTCTGATATCATTACTTGAATAGAAAGCAGTGTTTATTTACCACACAAGCAGTTGCACAGAACGTATTTCGGTTGCTTTAGAAACTCTTAAAAGTTTACTGAACTATAATACACAGGCATTTGATGACTCTCTACCATAATGTTTAATTTAAATTAGAAATTAAGAAAGCCTAGCCTGTTTAATACTAAGAAATTTCTGCACAGACAATTAAGAAGCTATTAATAATGTGGAAAGGAGGCCGAAGTACAGAGTATAGGAGAGATACTAGAGAAGTGTTACTTCCTGATTTGCATTTATTCTCTCTAATTGTCAAATTGCAGGATCTATATTTACAGGTCATGACCTGAAATTTGACTCTAAAATGGAGTTATCACATGGGGGTGCCTTCCTATAACAATTAAGCTTTCTTTTCACTTCTTGTTTTTTAACTGAGCCTCTGCAGTCCAAGATCCAAATACTGACAGGAAACCTATTGCAATGTTCAGGGAGTGCAGTGTTTCCTTCAGTCTGTAAAATACGAGTCCTACTACTGTGTGAGAGCACACAGAAGCAATGATTAGGTGTGGGTGCTGGCCACCGAAGTGCTCAGGGCTCCCTAGAGTAACAGGCTCACAATGCTGCATATACTGCTACCAGCAACCAGCACTCCTGCAAGGTGCCTTGGCTGGAAGGAGCAATGAGTGTGATAGATCCTGGCTATCAACACCGAAGTAGTAAAGGAATTGTTTCAGTTTTTCAGTAGATCTTCGCATCGGAAAGAATTTCTAAAATGCATTTAAAAGACAGAAAGCCTCTGTATTAGGGTAAATTTTAGCTCTTCCATGTTGATAACACAAGTCTTCTGGAGGTCTGATCAGTTTGCTCTATAGTAGAAGTAATATTCTGGATATTTCAGTGCCCAGATCTATCAGCTAGAGACACTTAAAGGGAGCTTATAAGCAGGAAGGAAATCAACTTTTTACAAAAGTAGGTAGAGATAGGACAAGGGGGAAAATTTTAAACTAAAACAGAGAAAAGTTGGATTAGATGTCAGGAAGTATTTCACTCAGAAGGCAGTGAGGTGGTACAAGCTGCCCAGACAAGATGTGGGTGCCCCATCCTTGGAGGCACTCAAGGCCAGGTTGGATGGGGCCCTGGGCAGCCTGAGCTGCTGGGTGGCAGCTCTGCCCACAGCAGGAGGTTGGAAATGGGTGGCCTTTAAGATCCCTTCCAACTCAAGGCATTCTGTGATTTTATGATACCTCTTCGTTACAACAATTACTTCTCTCTATCTTTTATTAAATAGAAATAATTTCTATAGATGTCACCACAGAGGGCAATTCATATAATCATAGAAGCATGGAATGGCCTGGGTTGAAAAGGACCACAATGATCATCTAGTTTCAACAACCCTGCTATTGTCAACCACCAGACCAGGCTGCCCAGACTCACATCCAGCCTGGCCTTGAATGCCTCCAGGGATGGGGCATCCACAACCTCCTTGGGCAACCTGCTCCAGTGTGTCACCACCCTCTCAGTGAAAAACTTCCTCCTAATACCTAATATCTAACCTAAACCTCCCCTGTCTCAGTTTAAAACCATTCCCCCTTGTCCTATCACTATCCACCCTAGTAAACAGCCGTTCCCCCTCCTGTTTATATGCTCCCTTCAGGGATTGAAAGGCCACAGTGAGGTTTTCCTAGAGCCTTCTCTTCTCTAAGCTAAACAAACCCAGTTCCCTCAAGCTTTCTTCATAGGAGAGGTTCTCCAGCTGGTACCTGGGGTATTTTCTGCTGAGGTTGCATAGCTGCTAATCATGCACACAGAGAAAGAAAGAGAAGCAAATAGTCTCAAACGAGTCAATACTATGCAGCTACTTCCCTCGTCTTTGGTTTGTGATTTGCATCATCAAGATTAAGAAAAAAGCAGCAAAGATGATGTTTATGTTGATTGTTTTCCATCATCTCTAATTCTAAATGAGATATATGTTAAATGTATCTGGTCCACAAAATATTGCTCTTAAGTTCTATAGAGAAAACTTTATGCAGTAGTCTATTTTTGTGGTTTTAATCTTTAAAGTGATTACAGTTGACTGAATAGCAGTTTTCTGATACTAGATGGAAAGTAAAAACAATTATAAAGTTTAAATTGATAACAACTTATTTAATGACATGCTGTCTAACTGCTAGAGGCATAAACAAAGGATACCTAGAATGCCGGAATGAATTTAGGAAATTCATTAGAAAAGTTATTAAGTGACATTACAAAGAAGACAAGAAATATTGTATGAGAAGCATATGCAAATGACAGATGAGGATAGATTGCAAATAATTAAGCAAAATCACAAGAGATGTAGTTTAGACAGTAATTTAGAAACTGAGAAGAGAAAACAGACTCATTTTAGGCAAGCTGATTTAATTTCACTTCCTATTATGACTGCATTCTGGATGCTAACCTGAAACTTTTCTGAATTTCACAAAGGAGGAGATTGAGGTCTGCAGAATTAGTGTCATCTTGGCTAAGGCCCTTCAGCTGGAAACCTCACAGGATCAGCCACACTCACTAAACTTGCTGAACTTCTCCAGCCAGGCTGCACAGCCTCCTTGGTTTATTTCGGCACCTCCTTTTTTGGCTAGCAAAAAGCAGTTCAGAGGAATGCAAAATGAAAAACAAGGGGAAAAAATTAATCCAACTTTCCCAAACCACAGAAAACTTTCATTTGGTATACGTTTTGACCAAAGTTTCAGTGAGAGCAATGGTCAGATTTTATCCAAAAATTACTCTGAATGGAAGGAACTCTGAGCAGTTTTGATGCACAACGACTGAGAGAGAAGCACTATGCTGACAGAATCTGTATCCACACTCTTGAGTGTATAAATGCTAAAAGTGCAGATGATTGCATGTATAAT